TTCTCTGAATTAGCACTATATAAAATCTTCAGTTCTAATTTTAAATCCTTTAAATTTTTTTCTCTTTAAATTTTAAAATTTAAAATCGTCAGGGTTACTCGCCCTATGTCTACTCGTATAGTGCTGCAGTGGCTTCTTCTTGTTTCTAGTACTGTACAGGTGTTATTCTGTGTAGTCTCCCTGTGTGCGTACCGCTGTTTATCTTTACTACATAGTAAAGTAGTAAAGGGAGACTACACAGAATAACACCTGTACAGTACTAGAAACAAGAAGAAGCCGCTGCAGCACTATACGAGTAGACATAGGGCGAGTAACCCTGACGATTTTAAATTTTAAAATTTAAAGAGAAAAAAATTTAAAGGATTTAAAATTAGAACTGAAGATTTTATATAGTGCTAATTCAGAGAAATCAAAATTGACGTGTGTAAATAACAAAGATATCAATGAAGTAGATTTTGGTAATAGCAACGAAAGTGAACAATCAGGAAGACCTATGTTTTTAAATTTTAAATGTTAAATAAGTGCAGTGTAACAGATACGTGAGTGTATACACCTGATGATGGCCTTCTGTGGCCGAAACATGTAGTGTGTAAAAAAGAGCAAAACGAAAGACCTATAATATATAGTTTGCACTTAAGATGGAGTTATATCATATATTTCAGAATTATATTTGTCTGCTGTTCCCACTGGCCAATACTGAGCTCCATGGGTTTGAGTTGCAACCTTCCTTGTACCCAGCTAATATAATGCAAATGATTCCCCCCATCCTACACACTGTACTGTAGATGGAGGCTGAAACTTCAGCATCCAGCTGTAAGACTACATGTTATCACAACACAAAAGATCACCATATGGAAACCTCAACCTTTCTCTGGCATGAGCCGAAGGGAGGCAAAGAAAAGATGAAAGAAATATCCTTCATTTATTGTTTCTTTTTCTTTCTTCTCTGTTTTGTAATTTCTCTCATTCTTATATAGATATGTTGAACATTATGGATTTATGGTTGCTGAAGATCAATACATTTTTTGTCTGGCTGCCACATTGGAGTTTATATGGAACTCAACACTTGGCTGTGGCATGGTAAATTTGTAGGGATCTTCTTGCAATGGACTGTCTCATGAATGAATGAATAAATGAATGAATAAACACTGAATAGAACTGCAGTGAAGATGTAGGTATCAGGATAGTGACCAGTGGTGGGCTGTTTTGAAAATGGTAATGATCCTTCAGGTTGCATAAAATGAGAGGAATTTCTTGACTGGCTGAGCAACTGTTGGCTTCCCAAGAAGGGCCCTTCTCCCTCGAGTTGATTACTTATTTAACCCTTTGACGTGGTCATTTAAATTCCGCGGCCGCGGCTCCTGCGGTACTATATTCAGCCGGCCATTTAAATTTTGCTCGAAAATTATTTATTCATCATTGTTCTTAAATTCTATGAGATAGGAACATGAAACTTTCACTAAAATGATCTTAAAAGGTGGTTTTATAACCTTACCTTATAATATGAGCAGCCGGTATCTCGGCAATGGAAGCAGTTTGTTTAGTATTTGAGCAGTGTATGGTACGCTTTGAAGGATGAAACTTTCACTAAAATGATCTTAAAAGATGGTTTTATAACCTTGCCTTATAATATGAGCACCCGGTATCTCGGCTATGTAAGCAGGTGACGCCTTGAAGCATTAGTCTAAACACAGCGCT